GATGATTGGTCAGCCGGGTGACTGACACATTCAGAAACCCAACACCATACTTAAGATATCTGAAGATCCACATATGTATGCCACATACACATGGAAATTTCCTTGTGGCTGGATTGGAATGTGCACACTCTCCCTGGAAGGATGTACCCAGAATGTGTGTTGGGGTACTGCTGGAGTTTAACAAATTAAAACATTATATATAGCTTGGAATTGAAAGCACTCTCTGGCAAGCTTCCAGCTGCTTGTCCTGTGAGGACCGCCCAATTCATTGGGATTTGGGCTTGCAGGGTTAACAGGAGCCGAATGGGAGGAATTGCTACTCCTAGTGACATGGAGGGAACATGACACTCTCTTTGGCAGAAAGATGGTTGGGTAAACTGAAGGTTAGAGAGGCCCCAAGACTGGAATGGAAAATAGAAATAGCATACAGGTGCAGTGTCAGCTGCTCTTCTGATGATGTAAATAACAGTTGTTGGACCGTGAAACTCCACCCTCCATCTGACCTATGCTGTACCTGACCTGGATGCACTTAATACAGACAGTGGGTACAAAACGTATAAAAACACATTCCTTAATATTCTTTAACATTTCACTTTCATTGCTTGGGTTTAGTTATTTTTTTGATAAAACAATCCTTGCATTGATATAGTGTGATTCACGTAAGGAGGATTCCTCCAAAGTGCCTCACTGAATTTGTGCAAATCAATGCATGTCTGGACTTTAAGCTTGTGGTCTCATACAAAACCACCTAGTTGAGTATACCTAGTTAGAAGGTTATGCTTGAAGGCTTAGTTGAGGAAGGGCAGGAGGAGGCTCATGTGGAGCATAAACACTGGCATAGACCAGTTGGACCGAATGGCCTGTTTCTTTGCTGTATATTCTAATATATTCTAATGTAATGTATACAAAACGACCAGTTGAATATTTCTCTGCTAAAGTTGGCAATGATATTAATTATTTTGCCCTTGCATAACATTAGCTCACTGCAGTATTAATTTGGCTAAAGATCTGAATAGTAACTAAACCACTAACATTTCTGCAAAGCCATTGATTAATGATAAATTCAACATCCAATAGACATCTGCATTCAGGCAGAAACAATTCTGTTTACCGGGATATCTCAGCAGAGAATAAGTCAATTAAAGCTTGGTAAATTAATTGTCATTCACCTCAATATTACAGTCAATGGATCAGAAAGTCAAAATTGCCATCCCAAAAGTGCAACTGTTCACCAGCTTCTCATTGATGACTAATCCTTGACCTATTTTCAGAGGCTTCACACTTGAATTTGGAGTGCAGTGTCCCATTATTTTTATGCACAATTTGACTGGATGCAATCAAAAAAATGTTCCCTTCACTGCATTGCACAGTGTTCCCTTTAGTGCAAATGCATTCAACTGAGTCAAGTGTGTGTGAGTTATAGGCAGTCCTTTGAACTGAGCTTTGCAACCTTTAAGCTAGGGATGCAGCACTCAATCATGGAGTTCACAATTGTCCTTCAATAGTTCACATTTAATGGTGATAAGTTAAATGCACCATGAAATCCACTACATAAGCACCATACATTTGTTTTTAAAATTATTATTTTTCTAAAAAATATTATCAAGCAGTTATGCAGGAATTCTTGAGTCAAGGAGCATTAAAGCTTGCATGGTACAATTAGGGTTTCATGGTAAACAGATATATATTATCAGGTTTTATATTCAGGTGCACCACTTGTCTACAGGGCTGGTAACACCCCTAGGCCAAACAGTGGAGTGGATAAAATCAGATATTTCTGGTCCATGAACCAATGTGTTACACACAAAAGCAATTACTTTTTTGTTCTTTGTATCTCAGTTGATTGAAATCAACGTGAAAAATACAGCTTTTACACCAGTGCAACCTGAACCAACTTTTCTGATTACATTATAAATTAATTCCGTCTGCCTTGTCATTCAGGAGGAAATAAAATGAATCATCGCACTGTAATTGGCTGCTCATCTCATTGTTGTTTATGGGCTGTTGCTGGAAAAGATTAGCTGCCATGTTTGCCTATTTTACAATATTCACATCTTTCTTATAAATTTTACTTCCTAAACTCTGCGGGATGTTTATTTGAAAGGTACTAATGTACATGAGTGAAGGCTATTATCATTATTACACTCATTTGTAAGTTAGTAAAGTTATGCTACAAAATATTTCAATGTTACCAATACCTGAGGCTATTAATAATCCTAATAATAAGCCTTGCATTTGATATAGCGCTTTTCACGTCGGGAGGATGTCCCAAAGCGCTTCACAGAACACACTGTAAAGTGAATTGACTGTATATTTGTGGGCGAACGCGGCAGCCAATTGCGCATAGCAATGTCCCACAAACAGTCGTAGATTGAAAAAGACCAATTTATTATTGTTTTGGGTTTTGGAGGGATTATTATTGAGCTCAGTGTGGAGTAAGGAAACTTGCCCAAGGTTTCGCCCTCTGCCTGGAATTGAACTCAGGTCTCTCGCTTGCAAAGCAAGTGCTCTAACCACTGAGCTACAGGACTCCACTATAAGTTAAACTAATCTAAGGTGGGGACTACCCCTTGTTTGGGTAGTTAGGACCTCTTCCAAACAAATATAATGGCTGCTGGTTATATGTGTGCACTTAAGTAGTTGATAGTATGCTTCAAACTCACTAATGATGCCTCATGTATTTCTCTTAACGGGTGTCAAGAGTAATTTGCCCACTACTTTAATTCCTTGTATGTCTGGAAATGCTTTCCCCTCAAAGTAGGTCTGAAATAAGGAATGCCGTAAGGAAAAGGGTTGTAAGTAAGTACACCCTCTTAATATGTGAATGCAAACAGGAACGATGAACATACTTTACAACATTCAAAATGGGATTCTTAAATTATGGATATTGCAACTTCAAATCGAAGTCCAAAGAGAATTTATTTTCCATTGCCGAAACATTTTTTACACCTAAATATTTCTATTTTTGCCTTGACTTTACGATTTTTCTATATATTAAACCCCATCCATTGCACTTCAAAAATAACTGCTATTCCTAGTTTTTCTTCATGTCGTCCATCAAAGTGCTGAACACTAGACATCAACTTCACCAGCTAATCACTTCACCAGCACATTGTATTTAATGAAAAACTCTCAGCATGCTACTAAGGTCTGACTGATGGGGTGCCGTGTTTGAAGTTTTCTTTTGCTTATTCATTTTTAAAGGCTTCATTTCATGTGTTCTTTAGTACCAGAATACCACACAATTGCAGATTTTTGAGTGCACAAGGAAGGAAACCTAAATATAGATTAAAGCCAACATGCTAGCCAATTTATTAGCATCTAATGTATTTCTCTATTCACAACAATTGAAGATGAAGTTACACTCAAACGTAAAGGAATACGAAATGAAAGTATTATGAATATTCAAATTGTTCCAATGTTCATGTCCCTTTACTTTATAACCTTCTGTGAGGGTTTTGGAGATGGGAGTTGTAATAAGATAATACTAATCCTTGTGTTTGATGTGGGAACCAATGATGCTGTCGAGATGCCTCAAAACACTTCACAGGATTTACTGTGAATGTATATTTTGCAGGGGAACATGGTACAGCAATGTTCCACAGGCGGTCATGAAGTGAATGACTTTTTCTTATCTGGGGGTTGCAAACACTAACTAATAATTTTTGCACTCTGGATCATACCCACTCATGCCAAAATTGAAACGTATTTAATGGGGACACCCTCTAAGCTGGCAAAGAAGAATAAACACAACTTTCTTCCCATCAAGTCTGCTTTCAACATTCCATCATAAGGGACTTACAGAATCTAAACTAAATGGGGATCATGCTTTTGAGAACAGTTGTTGCAAAAAAAGTTACAAAATATTATATTTTCATCTGTAGAATGAAAAATTAGCAAATTAACAGCCGGTTCTAAGCAGCTACTTCCCGGATCCTTTCTCTGTGTTACTAATTGAAGCCAAGCTGCTGGGACACATGCCCACAATTGCAGATTGTGCTTGTCCTTGCTTCTAAAATACTGTTACAACCAAGTCTCTTACTGTGAAGGAAGTGCGCCTCCTGGGACCGTTTGTACAGGGAAATCTGTCCACAGTAAAGCCAACAGGCAAAGCAGGAAAACAGCAAAATGACAAGATTCTGGCAGAGAAATGGCATGCAGCAAAGAAACCTGGATTCCTTGTTCATAGCGCAGGACACAACTGAAATATATTACTGCTGCAGGGGATTGAGTTTGTAAAAAGCCTTAAAAAGTGAGCTTTTTTTTTAAACAGATAAGAGGTGAGTTCTTCTGTAACATGTATCAAAAAGAATGATCGATGACCTCTCACTCTGTAATGAACAATTGACATTATTAAACCTCTCCCTTAATGTTTAAGGTCTTTAAAAGTAATGACCAAGACTCATTACGTTATCTCCTACAAGCAGAGTTAAGCTGATCCAAAGCATCAAGAAGTTCATTAAAACATAATATTGCTACATACTATTAAAGAGACGTGGATTGCTGTCAACAGGGGTCTGGTGGTATTTTTTGACTCATTTGGTTCCTGCCATCAATGTTTTAACTCCTTGCAAAACAACATAGGACCCTTAACGTAGGTTAACATCTCGGGGTGTTTCACAAGGACGGGGTCGGATGCTGAGCAAGGTAGAAGGGGAAGGGATGGTGACTGTAGACACAGTTGAATAGGTTTTTGGGTGGAATCTGTAGTCGGGTAGAAAGGAACGAGGTGGAGAGGTAGAGAGATGCAGAAATTAAGGTTAAGATTAACAAGTTGCCCCTAGCTTTTTGCCGCTAAGTTGAATTTGAACTCTCGTTTTGTTTTGTCGAATGGTTTGTTAGAATCACATCTCTATTACGGGTCTGTAATCATCAGGATGCTAAACAGCTTTAAAATGCCAGGGATCATTCCATAATTTGCTTTTGTTCATTCAGGAGATTTTCTGTTGACCTCCACTGATGTTTCTACAGGTGAAGTGTTCACGTTTCTTTGCGCTTACCTCCTTCATTGTCCTTGCTGTCGGAGCAAGCAGTCTCCATAGCAACATCGCATCCCGTTCCTCTCCACCCCATCTGGCAGACGCAGTGCCAGCCATTTTGGTCGAGGGTACATCTTCCATTACTATTGCAAAGTCCAGGGCAACCTTCTGCCAATGACAAAAGGACATAGATAATAAATACCAAACACACCACTTATGTTCTGCTCTGTTATGCAAGTAAACAAGAATGAAAGAGCAGCAGCTACAAGCCTTTTTAAAAGCACGCAAATCATAATTTCACATGGATAAACTGTGGCCTTGTACAATAGAAACTGAACATTTGTTCCTCTTTGAAAGGACAAATATCTTACATTTTTCATGATGTACTGCAGAATAGTTCTAAGAGTAGTAATTGCAATAAAATGCCCAACTTTCAATGTGTAAGATTCATGTGAGGGTTTTAAGATATAGAATATTACGGCACAGAAGGAGGCCATTCGACCCATTGTGCCTGTGCCGGCTCTTTGGAAGAGCTACCCAGTCAGTCCCACTTCCCCCGCTCTTTCCCCATACCCCTGCAATTTTTTCCTTTTCAAGAATCTATCTGATTCCTTTTTGAATCTGTTTCCACCGTGACTGAAGAATATAAATGGTCAAATAAGTATTTATGCGGAGGGTAATTAACGACTGGTACAGATTTCCAGGAAGGGTTTAAATCAGTCCAGTGTTCTGTTGAGATCAGGACACTTGACTGATTTAAAATGTAGCTTGATGCTATGGTGGGGTAGTTGTCCTGGAGGGATGAAATGGACTGAAGGGTCTTCTTCACCTGAACCAATCTTGTGATCTTGGATAAGTGGAGAAGTCAGCTTTTGGTGAAAATGATCTCATAAGGAACAGGTTTTATACAGGAAAGTGTCAGATTTCATATTACCCTAATTCTTAGGATAATGTCATGGATACCACAGAGGACTAAATGCTCCAACAACTGTAATAGGGATAGCAGGGAAATAACACAGGAATAATGTGAGTAATGTCATGGAAGGATTGATTTCACCAACTTGCTTCAGTTTGCCTTATTATGATTGTCGTTCCTCGCTGAAAATGGTAGTTAGCATCGGGAATAACAATTCAGACAAACTTAACTCATATCAATTAGAATTTGGAATTAGGGAAACAGTGTGTCTCTGTATTGGTACAGAGTGCCGTCCTTTTAATTGTCGAATCTGATTTCAGAAACAACCCAGACAGAGGAGAGCTCATCACTTTTGATTTGATGCCTGATACAAAATCCAAGTGAAACAAATTTAACCAGTTTGAACCTGATTCCCAGTGGAAATGAATTCCAGGACAGAAGTGTCCCAAAATTGCCAAAACTTTTGTCTTAGAAAAGTTACAAGGACAGGCACTGTACTGTGTGTGGGAAGGTGCGAAGAAGGGTCACATGTTTACAGTAAATAGTCTGCTGAGCTTGATGATGCAGCACAGTGCTAAGTCGAGCACTGACTGCATTTTGACTGACGATATGCTTGACCTGCAACTTCTGGCTGTTATGAAAGAGGTTCCTTTTCGCATAGTCTACCCTTCATTTGCTAATTCCAACAAGTGAAAACTCTTCTTGTGGAATGACTTAATCCATTCTGCATCCTATACACAACTTCAAACTTTCCTGCATAAAGAATATGAACAAGAATAAATTACTTAAAAAATTAAAAAGAAATTTTGTATGCAATAAAGCCTTGTTGGACCTCAATTTAGACAAAATAGGTTTGAGAGCTAGGGTAACATCTTCCCACCCCCTTTTCTCTCCACCCCTCTTGGCTCCAGGCCCCAGCTCAGGTGCAAACCCTTTACTGTCCACCACCTTGGAATGTCCTCCCGATGTGAAAGGTGCTGTATAAATTCAATTTGTTGTTGTAACAGAATGTAGCTTGCATCCTCAGGGCGTCATGATCTTATCTGATGGCATTTGAAGAGATGGCAATTTCCTGAATAGATTAAGGAAGGGGAGAGTGGTGGAGGACTCAGCCAATGTCCCATGAAGCATTTGTGGAGGAAAAAGGCCATGACTGAGCCAAGAAACAAGAAGACAAAAAACTGAAAGGAAAGGAGAGAATAAGGTAAAAATAAACCGAAAGGAACTAAATACAGCGGGCCCATTTCAGGTATCCAAGAAAATCTATGTCTGTACTTTAAGTTTTGTTTTAAAAAAATCTAAGGAAGATACAATAGTTATCTGGAAGAAAATAAGGAAACTTTAAAACATACAAAGGGCAAATCCAGTAGATAGCCACATCTAAAAGACTCAGTTTCTGAGCTCTGCCCATTATGCCCAGTCTCACCAAGTTCTATTTGCTTCCAGTATTTCAGAATCCTTGTTAAGATCTTCTTATTAAGGTCACCTTACAACTCTTCCCACACTATCTATGCTTGCTCCCCATTCATTTTTCTTTGTCTAGTTTAGTGTTGGCCACTTAAGGCAAATATGAGAGACGCGTGACTAATGGAAGCACACACACAATACCTGTGTTTGTCTTCTGCACCCAAAATTCACAGATGGAATCTATTCCTCTTGTAGGTTATGCAAATTGGGGCTTATTCATGTGAAATTATTGTAGCTAATAAATAGATGAACAACATATAGGAAGAGCATTTACTGCTACATTTTATTACAAAATAAGAATTTAAAATGTACACCCTTTTTAAAGGAATAAGCAAAGGCCAGGAAACAAGAGACAAAGCTCAGAGCACCTAACCTTTAACAAATTAGATTCAAGGTTGCAGATGGACTGAAGTGGACAGACAAGGGTTTCAACAGAAACAATAGCTTTGCACGTTGAACTATTTAAGACAAACAGAAGCGTAATACCAGAAGAACCACAATTAACATAAAAAGACTGAACAGAAATAAAATGAGCATTGGAAATAAAACAAACAAACAAAAAAGAACTAATGCTCGAAGACAGAGAGCAGAGAGGGATTGTTCATAACAATCTCCCTGGGGCTTTTGTCTTTACCTTTATATCCTATCTTGTCTGCTATTATGGACAAGGAGGAAAAATTTGGAAACACAATTAAAAAGTGATGGCATATCCAGAATCTGTATTTATATAAATGGAATAAAAAAAGGATGCTTGCATTTGCAAAAATGTGAGTGAATTAAATAAAATCCCTACAGCTCTTTTTAATGCAGAAACTCTACTATCGAAGCTTTCACCTTAAATAGGACAAGTTTGGCAATGCAACTCCACAAACTCTTTTTTAAAGTGAATATATATTTCAGAAATGCTGTTAAAGCACACAAAATACTATTAATGAGAGATGAGGTGCCATGATCGTTAAAAACGTGTATCAAATTTGCTTTAAGCCACTTAACAGTTTCACACAGCGCTTCAAAATAATGTTTGACATTGTTACAATTGATTTCTTCTTTACTGATAAAATTACTCTTTAAAAATGGTGTATTCTGTGACCCATTTTTTCCAGCAGTAACTACAGTAATAGTGATTACCAGGAACTAACTGTTCTCAATTACATTTCAGCGATTTTCAAATATTACAGTATGTGGGTTAGCAAAGGTACCACAATGTGTAAGAGTGCAAATATATCCAAAGCAATTCTATTTCTGCGAACTGACTTGTAGGATATACCGTCTGATAAAAGTATTGCTGATATAATTCAGTATTAAGGGCTTGTTAATGCACCCATTATCGATCCCAGAAACATGGACGAACGAAAGTGAGATGACGATAGAGGGTTAGGTATCTGTTAACTTATTTACTCTATGTGCAAAGACTGCACAACAAACAAGAAGAAAGGAAAAAGGCATACAGTACCTTTAACTATTTTATCCAGAAAGTGTGCTTGAGAAATAAAACACAGACATTTCAGAACAATATTACACAGAGCAAGGAAATCACTGCATTTCTGCCTTTCACATGCAAATGATCCGTGCTGTTGCATTCAACAGGAGAAATCAACATTGGTGTAACCATGATAGGAACAGGTTGCAATTGTATTTAAGACAGTGTAACTTTTTTCATACAGTTCTACATTTGAATCTGCATAGAAGCAGCCTGTTCTCAATGCGCAAGATAGAGACTGACACACATTGCTGACAAAGGTCTTAATCGGTGAAGTAATTCACAGGAAATCCTATGAATGGAGAGCAGCCCTGCTCCTTTCTGTCTTACTCATTTTGATTTAGAAATCAGAAGTGCAGTCTATTATTTTCAGAATAATTCCTTTTCAGAATACAGAGACAGCTTGCTTGGATCTATTCACGATAGGACACCATGGACTTAGAGCCAGTCTGTGATACAATAACCTTTAATACCATACACCAAGCTAATCCTCTCAAATCTCAGATCTCAAAATAGCACATTGGAGTTTTTGGCAGGTTCGGTGGTAGAGACAAAGCCCATTTCTGGTTTCAAGAGGGAAGGAGACAACTATATGAAAGATAGAGCCTCGAATGGGTATGGGGTTAGGACTGAGTAGTAGAATTAAAAGAACAATTTGCTCTGAGAGCCCATGCAGACTCAATGGCCAAATGAAGAAGAACTTGAGGTTTTATACTACTAGATTGTATCAAAATATTTCAAAGTGTCTCACAGGATTTACTTCACAGAAATTAGTATAGTAACTTTTATTATGGGAAAGAATGACAACCATTTTGCCCACAGAATATCCCACGGACAGCCATGAGCCATGAGATCCATTTGTCTGGAGAACAAGACACTGAGAAAATTCTTTTTTTTAATAGTGTGTGGGATCTTTAGCATCCACCAGAAGAACACATAAATGGGTTAGGCCTTGGTTGAACTTTTCATCTGAAAAATGGCATCTCCAACAATGCAGGCGTAAGAGATAGGGAGGATGATGTTAATTCTGTGTATCAGCAAACAACAGACTAGTGATATTTAGGTGCCAATGTTTTGATGGCTAGGACACTGGGAGAAGCTCACTTCTCTTTTGGATCTTTATTATTGGTTAATTTTACCATTTTCATTTGTTAAGGATTATATTATATCATGCTCAGTATCTGAAAGTCCAGCCTCCAATTCATTATATTCCTGACGAGCCAATAAAGCCTCTTCATTAACAATTAACCTCACTTTTACACCAATTCGTTGCAATGAATAATAACCACCATCATTACTGCTCCATTAGAGAAATAAATAGACAGAACTCATCATCAGATCCAGATTATTCACTGTCAAGATATTAATAGGTCTGATGGAATGGTAATAATGTACAACTGGGTACCCATTAAATCTGTTCAAGTTAAATCACTGAGCCCCTAAATCTGACTCAATTGCTCGACCACTGTTTTTTCATTTGTTAATTGTTATTGATTGCACATTCTCACCACTTCACAGAAACAGATGAATTTGTCATATGCAGTTTTTATTTGCATGAATCGGATGATTTAGTTATCGAAAATCTGCAGCGAACCTTTCCAAATTCCTCGTTGAGTTTATCTGTTTAATGTATACTGTAAATATTGTGATCACTTTATTGTCTTTCATCATCAGCCTGGATTCCTATATCAAACATCTCAAGTAAAAATAATTTCATCTACATTCTTTTATCACTCCCAAGTGCCAATTTTGGCTCCCTGCTTGACGTTTACATCCTTGTACCTCTCACGTAGCAGCAGTATTGGTGATTTAAAGCTGGTACATTGAAATTGCTGAATGGATACTTTAATATGATGGGAAAATGGTCAAAGCCCAGAAAGTGAAGGTAGCGGGGGGTGGGGGGAGCTGCTTTGAATTGTAGTACAAAGCTGAACCGCCAGGGGGGTCAGGGTATCAATTGATGACATACTCACCTTTGAATAGGAAGATTGTGGGTTCAAGCCCCAAGTAGTGACTTGGAACAATTGAGTCAGATTTAGGGGTTCAGTGATTCAACTTGAACGGATTTACTGAGTTCCACACTTGTCCATTACCATTAGACCTATTAATTCACATAGTTTAGGCTGATACTCCAAGGAAATGCTGAGGGTATGCTGTATTTTTGGAGATGTTGTCTTACAGATGAGACTTTAAATCAAGGTGCTATCTGTCTGGTCAAATAAACATTAATGATCCCATGGCACTATTGGAAAAGCGAAGGGAGTTTGTGGGCCAACAATCCCCCAATTAAAATTGGTCATTCACTTCATGACTGTTTGTGGGACATTGCTGTGTGCAAATTGGCTGCCGTGTTCACAAAATACATATTAACTACATTTCAAAGTATATTCTTTGAAGCCTTTTATAGTAACATATTATATTGAAATATCTCAAAGCACTCTGCATGTCATAACTGTAGAGTGCAGTGACTGTATTTGCAGGCAAGCATACCAGCCTTTTGTATCAGCAAGTTCCACAGACAACCATTGTATTAATTAAAAAGAATTGTAGAAAATCAGCTTCCAAATGAAGATTGAATTTCATTTTCCAATATTCTGCACAACCTTAGTTTTAAGGGAATGGTCTTAAGGTCTAAGAATATGAGTAATATCAACCTCAGATGCAGAGGGAAGGCAGTTCAGCTATTTTTGTTCATTTGTGGCAACTTTTGCACCACTTGAACATTCTACAAAATTTATCTTCAATCATATAAAAGAAAAATAAGATCACAAGTCAACAAAAAATCCAAGTGGGATTTAGCCTCTCATTCCTGAATAGCTTCATTTTCACTACTGAAGTGAAGTGCCATATTTACACAATCTATTTCAGTGTGGCCTTGAATAAAAATAATAATTATAATCCTTGCATTCAGTATAGCGCCTTTCCATGTCAGAAGGATGTCTCAAGGCGCTTCACAGGATTCACTGTGAACTGGAGTGACTCTGTATTTGTAGGTAAATTCGTCAGCACAGTAGTGCACAGCAATGTCCCACAAACAGCCATGAAACAAATGACCAATTTTATTTGGGGAATTATCAGCCAGGACATGTGGAGAAAATAACTCTATTGTAGTAGTGACGTACTGGATTGGAAATACCTCCTTTCACCTGCAGGGCCTGGATGTGATTGCTATTCAGACTGATAGGATGAAAGTCTCTCCTGTCCGATGGCACTACAGGTCCCAGATGAAATGATGTTGGACAGGCTCATTCCAGTGCTTTGTAGCTGCAGGCTCATAGCACAAACCTGTCTATAATTTGGTACTAAATTGTCATGGTTCATTCCAATAGTGCCACGATGATGGTTCATTGCAGGAAACAAAAAGCCATTCTTTTGACATGAGGGTTTCAGATGGGTTATAATGGGAGTTTACCAAGTATTTAATCTGCGCTACATCTGAACATAACTGATAACAAATTGATAAATATATGAATGAATAATAATTTGACACAGTGCCGTTGACTCTATTTTGTATGTGATGCTGAAACTTGGGTGTTAAAAGTGAAAAAAAACCTTGGATCCCTACCTTAATAAAGCATAAAATTTTGCCATGCCTCTATTCACAAAAAAGGTAAATAGGATTTAGTTCATTGAGATGCAGGGGAAGCCTTTCTTTTATGAATAGGATATCACTTCTTAAGAACTCTTTTGGAAAATGGTTTTTTAATTTTCTTTTAACAAATCTTACCTTGAGTAAATGGTTGAATATTTTTTAATGCATAGCTATTAATCGTTAAATGTTACAATTATTGGCCAGAATGCTGTTAAATGTGATGCCTTATACAAATAATAATTATAATAATTCTTGCATTTCATGTAGTGTCTTTGCCATTGGGAGGATGTCTCAAAGCATTTCACAGGATTTACTGTAAAGTGCTGTGACTACATTTTGTAGGCGAACGGGGCAGTCAATTTGCACACATCAATGTCCCATCAACAGTGCTGAAGTGAATGACCAAACTATCTGGAGGATTGTTGTTCAGGGCATTGTGAGAAACCCTCTTCTCTTTTCAAATAATGCCATGGGATCTTTAGCATCCATTTGAACAGGCAGCCAAGAATGTTGTTTAACATGTCATCTGAAGGATGGTATCTCTGATAAAGGAGTGCTCCCTTAGCATTGCATTGGAGTGTTAAGTTACGGGGCCTGAACACACAACCTGAGAGTGCTATCAACTGAGCCAATTTGTATAAACCAGTATGTCTTGCTCATTTTGATTTAAAAATCAACAGTGCATTCTCTATTATTTTCAGAATAATTCCTTTTCAGAACTCAAACAGCTCACATGGAGGTGAGAGTGCTACCAACTGAGCCAGACCGATACTTATTAATACGTTTTTCTTTCAGTTTCAAAAAGGTAATGCTGGTCTCTGCTAACTGTACTAAAGTTCATGAGTGGGAAATTACGTCAAAAATTCAGTGGCACAGCTTTGCTGGATTTAGTGCTATATTTAAGAATGGAATCAACGACATTTCATGACGTGTACAGCACATCAACAACTTGTACTTATATAGAGCCCTCCATATTATATACATATATATATATTGCGTCTCAGAGCACTTAACAGTGGCAGAACCCGACTCCGTAAGCACAGTTGAAAAGGAAGCTTTTCAGGCGGGGCTTGAAAAAGGGGAACGGGGGCAAGGCAGAGGGATTGAGGGAAAGCGTTTCAGAGTTTCGGGCATAGTGAATGAATACACGATCTCCATTGGTGGAGTGGAGGGCGCGAGGGACAAGCAGGAGCCTGATGCCAGTCAAGAAGAGTGGTTTAGGAGGTCCCAGTTGATTTATAAAACAAGCTGTTTTGAATGGTCAATAATATAGCTTGAGGCTATACATCAACAAATATATACTGTATACTGCAAACACTGCATTAAACTTGTGCATGTTAGGTGCACTATTAATATGCTAGCATTGAATGAATGAGAAAAGCAAAAGGTTTAGCTACATGCTTTGTAT